CGGGGCCGGCGCCGGGCGGGATGCGGCGCCGCGGCGCTCACCTGCCAGAAGTCGGCGATGGTGTGGGACAGCGGCCCCTGCGTGGCGATGTACGCCGGCATCCGCGGGTCGTGCTCGATCTGCAGCGGGAAAGCGCAGCGGGGTCGGACCGTGTGCAYGCTCAGGACGGGGGGCTGTGGCACCAGGGGGCACGGGGGGGGCTCCAGGAGCCGCGGATGTGAAGCAGCGGTGGAGATGAACCACTGGCTGCCGCAGGAGGGAGGGGGATTTCACTGTGTCCGAGCAATGGGGCAGGCGCATCCTGGCTTAGCYCATGCTGCCATGAGCTTGGCTGGGCTCCATGGGGGAAAGGGGGAGCCCAGGCCATGGGTGAGCGCATGGCAGAGCGGGATGCCGCGGGGAGCACTCACRATAGGGCTGGCGTTGATGAAGTCGCTGCGGGAGGGGTTGCTCTCGCCTTTCAGCTTGATCCGCACGTGGTCGTCTGTGGAAACAGAGGCCGGGAGGACAGTGAGCCCATGAGGGCGGCTGTGAGTGCCATGATGAGTGCCGTGCCGCTGTGCTCCATGTCCAGCCTGGCCCTGCACCCCTCAGAGCCTCCCTGGCGCAGGCGCTCACAGGGCACGTAGTCGGGGTTGCGGTTCTTCTTGAGGTTGGCTTCGCTGTGGGCGACGGCGCAGACGTTGGGCTCGGCTTGGTAGGCGCACAGGGCCTGCCACTCCTTGGCCAGCCGGTCCCGGTTGCGGAGGTGGTCCTCCATGTAGGCCTGCGTGAGAGGCAGTATCACCRCGGGGCCGGGGTGTCACCATGAGGCCAGGGTGTCACTGGGGGGCTCAGGGTGTCACCACGGGGCCGGGGTATCACCGTGGGGCCGCCTCACCAGGATCATGTGCCCCGTGGAGATGTCCATGTTGGACTGCACGGGCTCCTCGCACCAGGACGGCGTGCTGCTGTGCGAGCTGGGGCTGGGCTGCGGCGCGTCGCTGAACTGCGACGAGACGCTGCTCACGCGCGACGTCTCGGCCGGCGCCGCGGGGCCCTCGGCGCGCCCGAACAGYGACTTGGCGGCCATGTGCTGGCGGCAGAGCTCCTGCGGGGCGGCCGGGCGCTGAGTGCCACCGGCGGGCACCCCGCGCAGCCCCCGCGGGGCTGGGGCGCCAGGCTGTACCAACCTGGTACTCGAGGGTGCTGTCGGCTGCGCCCTCGGGCCCCAGCGCGGCCAGGCGCTCCTTGTGCCGCTGCCTGGCGTGGTGGCGCAGGCAGAAGGCGGCGGCGGCGGCGATGGCGATGCCCGCCACGCAGGCCAGCGCGATGAAGGTGAGCAGCACCGAGTGGAAGCTGTCGCCGAAGCGCAGCGGGTGCGGGTAGGTGGCAGCCTCGTTTCGCTGCGGACAGAGCGGAGCCGGGGTTGAGGGCGGGCAGAGCATCTGGAGGCCACCCTGCTGTATCCCCCCTGGCAGCGAGGTACCCGAGAGGGCATCAGCCTGGCCCTGGCGGGAGTTGCCAGAGGGGGACCCTAGGGAAGTGAGCCAGGGAATGYTGATGGGAGGCACCCCGTTCTGCACCAAACTTGGAGGTGTTTAGCTGCGCTGCATGGGGATGCCCCTGGGGTCCCTGCTGCCTGCACCACGGCCGTCAGCGCCCGGCCCTTGGGGCAGCGCTGCCTCTGCTCACAGGGCACTGCCAGGCCCKGCAGCCGCCCTCGCTCCTGCATCCCAGGGCGCGCGTTGCTCCGGCACCTCCCATCGCCCCCGTGTCCCCAGCACTGCCAAAAGCCGGGCACCAGCGACCTGCCGCTCGGCCAGCATCACCCTGGGCACTGCCAGCCTGGATCGCGGGTGCAGACCCGCACGGTGCCTCCCCACGCTCTGTTCCCCCGCAGAGCCGTGGGGAAGAGACACGGCACCGGGAACAGCACTAACATTCCTCCCTGCTGCCAGGGACAACATGCGAGACYGACCCGAAAGCCACGAGGAAGAGAAGTGGGGCCTGGGATGCCCCTGCATCCCAGCTGTGGCCCCCACGCTGCAAACAGGCTCCCACCTTGAGTGGCTGAGCGATCCGGAGGCAGGTGCAGCTGCAGCCCTATCTCCTCATCCCTCCCTCCCTAAATCTTTCCCTGGTCCCACCGAACTCGGAGCGGGGAACGCAGAGAGGGGCAAGCAGGGCCGGGCCAGACAAGCCCACCCAGAAAAGACCCTGTGAAGCTGCTGCAGGCTCCTCTGAGCGCCTGCTCTGTCATCGCTCCCAGCTCCCCTCGTCATCYCCCCAGCTCCTGCCACTTGTCACATCAAAAGGCGTTGCCATAGCGACACTCCACATGTTGCTGATGGAGATAGGATGCCTCCCGGCCGGCCACCCCTGCTCCCCGGCCTCCTCCTCCAGGGTCCACACGTCCCTCCTCCTTGCCCCATGCTAAGGCTGCGGGGCGAGAGGATGGGAYCTGGGGACCTGGAGGGGGCTGCRCAGGACGGCACCCTCCACCAAGCCTTATCCTGACACCGCCTCCCCTCCACACGYTGGGAACACGGGAGCAAGGCTGGGTACCCTGTCCCTRGTCGCCGCGGGACACGGCTCCTGGYGCCCCAAGGGAGCTCCCTTGGAGCAGATGGCTCCATCCATCCCTGCCATCCCTGCTTGGCTGTTCCCGTTGGGGACGGCCCTTTCCCTGCAGATGTTTTTCATGTTTTTCACTTGTCTATTTTTAAATCCAGCCACGAGCCCTGGGCCTGCCAGCAGCACCACTCCGGTGGGCAGAAGGTGCCACTGGTCAGTCCCACGTGAATCCACSCCAAATAAGAGCGGGCCCTCCTCAGCACGGCAGCCCTCACTGCACCCCCATGTGGGGCACATCCCCAGCCCAGAGCCCTGGGCTCCCTGGGCCACGGGGCCAGCTGGCTCAYGAGGAATCCCCCGTGCCGAGGGGCTGGGACACAGCGCCCTTGCCAGGCGTGTCCCCACACTGCGGCACGCTCGGCCTTGCCCCGGCTGCCGCGGGCACAGGCTGCACCTCAGCAGGGGAGGAAGGCTCCTGCCCTACTCTTACCTGTCCCACCCCCGTCTGCACGATCTTCAGGCCCAGCTCTGCCTCCAGCTCCGCCTTCACCCGCTCTGCRGACAGGGAGTGAGTCAGGGGGTGCTCCCCCCCTCCCAAGAGCTGTCCCCAAGCCTCCTGGACCCACCGCCAAGGCAGAGCTAAGGGACACCCTGCTCCCCGGAGAGCCCCAGCACCATGCCAGATCTCCCACCAACAGCACTGGGTGTATGGGGGAGCCCTGTTCTCCCACTAGACCCTCGGGAYCCCCTCCCCAAGCCCCACTCACCGGCCCGGCTGGCCACATCCGCCAGCGAGAGGTTCTGGGGGTTCTGCCGGATGCGGAAGGTGAGCGCGGGGCCCACGACGCTGCCGGTCGGAGGGACACAGCGTGAGCCCGGGGTCTGCCCCCCGGCCCCGTGCCCGTGCCCCAAACTGGGGAGGAGGCCAAGGGCAGGAGCCCTGAGCTGCGCGGCAGTGCCCTGCGGCCGCTGCCCTCACCTGATGTTGATGAAGCTGGYGGTGGAGAGGTGCACGCGCTTGGCCAGGACCTCCAGCAGCCGCACGCCGGCCTCCAGCCCCAGCGGCCTGCAGGGAGCACGGACAGGTGGGCCCGCGGCACGGCGGGAGCCGAGCCCGGAGACTCGGGCAGCCTTTGGTGGAGCCCGCAAGCGCCGCGAGCAGCTGGGCCGGGCACGCAGCGCCGCCACCCTCGCCACCCCACACAGCGCCCCGCGCGCGGCTCTCACTTCTGGTCCGTGATGATGTAGCCGTACTCGTCGGGCGGCCGCCCGCCACGCCGCTCCCCCGSGTCCTTCGCCTCCGTGTAGCTCTTCTTCTGCACCGCGACCAGCTTCCCGGCGCTGCCCGCGGCTCCACCGAGCCCCCGCGGCGGCTGTGCCTGGGGGGCCGCCGTGTGTCCTGCCCTGCCCCTCAGCCCCTCCGCTGAGGAGCTGCTGGCTGGGGGCAGCGCCGTGGAAAAGAGGGGCTCCGGCTCCTCTCCATGCTGCATGTCCCCCTCTGTCACCTGCAGGCAGGGGAGGAGAGCAGCTGTGAGTGCTGCGCAGCCCGGGGCTGCACGCCGGCCCCACGCGTGCCCCACRTGCAGCTCCTCCTCCAGCACCGGGGGCAAACTCAAACTTACCCGCTTGGCTGTGGGCACCTCGGGGCCAGCGGCACCTGGGAGGGACAGAGGGAACTGGTTCACATGGGATCTGCATCCATGGCAGCTCCAAGGAGAGGCAAAGCCCAGCCCAAGGACACAGTGCTCTGTGTGCCCCGTCCCCTGTGCCCTGCTCACCCGGGCCCTGCAGCAGCTGCAGGAGGGCAGAGAGGCTGCTCAGCTGCTGGGCGCTCAGCTCCGGCAGCGCCAGGCCGTAGCTGGCCAGCACGGAGGCCAGTCTCTTCAGGGCAGCGTCTGCGAGAGGACACAGTGCCATGGAAAGCCCTGCGCCCGCTCAGGGACCAYGGGCTCGGGAGGCAGTCCCAGGAGCAGGGAGATGCTCCTGCATCTGCGGGCGGGGGCACAAAGCCAAGCAGGAGAGAGCCTGAAGCATGAGGAAGGAGGCTGTGGGACAGGATGGGGCTGGCTGCAGGACGTGCTACCTGGCTGTGCCGGGGCTGGCGGGGCAGCCAGGGCTGCTGGCTGCCCCCTCTCCACGTCCCTGAAGTCATCGGGGAAGCGCAGGCTGTGCTGGAGCCTGGCCGGGGCAGGCTCCATGCGGCCGGCTTTCTGCCTAGGCAGGGAGAGCAGCCCCAAGTCCTGGAAGAGATGCCCCCCGTCCGTCCCGGGCTGTCCGCCRTAGGAGGGCACAGGGCCGGCCCCAAACAGGGCCTGGGCAGGGACGCGGCCCAGCAGCGCGGCGGCAGCGGGGCTCTGCCGCGCGGAGCTGCCGGGGAGCTGGTGAGCGCCGTCCTGGTAGCCAAACTGCAACCAAAACACAGAACGGCCCCGGCTTCGGGTCGAGCCCCCAGAAGCCCAGCCGCCCCACTCCAGTGCGTGCCCGGGGACAGCGTGGGGACAGCACGGGGACAGCAGGGCTGCCGGCACTGCAGCAGGGGTGCTGGCCCCCATTGCTGACGCACCTTGTGGTAGGAGTAGGGCTGCAGCAGGGCCTCCTCGTAGGCGAGCGGYGGCGGCGGCGGCGGCAGCAGCTGCTCCAGGTAGCGCTGCAGCAGCGCGGCGGGCGGCGGCTGCCCCAGGTGCTGGGCCGGCGGCAGGCCGCCCTCGGCGGGGTGCAGGGCTCTGCGGGGCGGCCCGCGCGCAGCCACCAACCTCGGGGGCAAGCGGCACCGCTGGCACCCACCCGGGCACGGGGTGCTGCCCAGCCAGCCCTGAGGGCCGCCCTGACCCTGACCCCCCGCCTGACTCCCTGCCAAGCCCCAGTGGGGCTGAAACCCTCCCCGTTCAGCCCAGCAGGAAGCAGGGGCTGGCAGGGGCCCCGCAGGCCCCGCATCCCCGAGGGGATGGAGGCAGGAGCATCCCCGAGTGCGAGGATCCCACCCGGCTCTGCTCCGCAGGCAGGCAGGGAGGGAAGGAGCGGCACTACCTGTCCCTGGGCATGGGCTCCAGCGAGGGCGGCGCGCGGAGCCGGGGGATCCGCTCCATCTCCCGAGAGATCACGTACTGCGTGAGGCCGTCCTGCCACGACAGCCCTGACACGGGACGGGAGCCGTTAGGTACAGACGGGGCCTGGGGGCCRTGGGGGAGCACATGGGGTGCTGCTCTGGTAGCTGGCTGCCCAAACCTCTGCTCCAGAGCTGGGGCTTTTCCTGGCCCCATCCCGCTCCTCCCAGGATCAGATGGATCCACCTTTATCCCATCACAACCTGGCCCCTGGGGTCAGCGGGACCCCTAAGGCCCTGCTCCTAACAGAGCCACCAGGCAGTGCCACCTGACACCCTCTCTCTCCCCGTGGGACCACCGTGACCCCCCTCTGCCCCCCAGTGCTTCCCCCTTCACCTTGTGCCAAGAGGTGTCGCAGGACATCCTGCAGGCGCTGCAGCACGGGCGACGTGACCTGGAAGTGGGGTCTGTCCTGCACGGAGCCCACCTGGCACTGCCCAAAGAGCCCATCTGCAAGAGAGCGGTGGCAGTGGGGCAGGCACAGCCCCCCCACAGGATGGRCTCAGCATCAGCTCTCCCCTGAAGCGACCCCATTGCACCTCAAGCTGCCCAACACGACACTCCTTCACCCCCGGCCCTCTTGAAAAGGGAAGGCAGGAGGGACCCGCTGCAGCCACTTACCCTGCACACAGACCTCCTGCGGGGAGCAGAGCCTCCGGTCAAACAGGCAGCCTGGGCGGGACACACAGAGCAGCGCGCTCAGCTCAGCRGAGCAGGGCCGCAGAGGGGTCCCCAGCGGGGTTTGGGCACCCCCAGCACCGCCGGTGCTGCCCGGGGACCTGCGTGCTGGGGAGGCTGCAGGACGGGCAAGGCCTGGCAGCGAGAGCAGTGCCCTGGGGACCGGCTCCCTCCCCGGAGCCAGCAAGGGGATGCTCCAAAGCCTCCTTCCCGCCTCAGGGAGGCCAGAGAGAGCCCGGAGAGCTCTGGGGCGCAGGCAGCTGGGAAGGGGGGCTGAGAGGGGCAGAGACCCCCGAGAGTGTCTGTGTGTTCACCGGCACACGTGGCACTACGYGGCGGGGCACAGCCCGGTCACGGGCGACCTGCGGCCCCTGCGAGGGGCACCCCAAATCACACGTGTGGCAAGGGGCGGCTCTGAGGACCCCCCTGGGGTGCAGTGCCCGGCCAGGGGGCTGCTTCCCACTTCTTCGCCCCGCTGCACCTGGGTCCAAGCCCGTCAGCAGCGAGACGGCAGCAGGCGATGACTCAGCCCCGGATGGCGAGGAAGGAACGAGAAAACAACGGGGGGGAGGGGAGGG